ATTTGCAAATTATGCAATTAATACATGAATAAGGGCGATAAGAATCCAAAATAGAAAGTCAAAACCCGTACGAGATCCAGTGCTCTCACTGGATCACGAATAACCATCAGTAATTTAACAAACTGCTGATTTCTGAACACACACCACCACTAACATATGGATATCAATTTAAGAATTGGCACTTAAGATATCATGTGAAATCAACTAACCAAATCAATTGTTTTCGCGTATGGTTTTGATGCGTCATCACACCACGTTTCACACCACAGCCATTCTTGAGGTAACGATTTTATGCGAACTTGATGGATCATATTATTTGGCAAATCCTTTAACATTCAACATCACTCAAAAATCAACGAAATTCATCTGATCGTTACCAAATTAACGAAACATATATCCTACAAAAGAAACAAAAGAAATACAAAAAACGTATAAGATGAGAAACAAGAAAGAAACCTGATCTAGATTCGATAAACTATTCGGATCAGAGCTCAGTCCTTGATACTGGCCTCGTAAACGATCACCAGCGGCGATCTGTCGGAATTTCACCAGATCAATCACATAGAGAGCACTGTAACTCGAAAATCTGCTATATTTGACATTCAACAAAGGCATAAAATATGACTGACAATGAGCTTAATTCCAATCAACACTTGTTTTCTCGTTAATTCACCAAAGAATTCGCCTTTAACGATGTGCGATTGAAAAACAACGCAGCCGTCTGTCATTGACTGTGCTAATCAAATAATGTGAAGAACTGATAAAAATGTAAAAACAAACAGGTACATGCCCCAAATGAATAGTAATTCAAAAGAAATAAGCACAAACCTAATATGGTATTTGCGTCCAGCAAGGTGATTCGCCCAATATCCCTTCTTCCAGAAACGGAATCCTTCCATCGAAGTACGGCTGTCACAGAACGGAGTAAAACCGTACGGTGCACCACCCAGATCCAGCTCCATCAACTCCATCAGATCTGTCAAAACAATCTGATCGGCATCCACGTAGATCATCTTTCGCACGTCCAGTGGGAAGAGTACATCCAGGAACAGAATCTTATAGCTGCAATTCGCTTCATCATATA